GAGAGAGAGAGAGAGAGGTGAGAGAGAGACACACATGGATTGGTTGCCTCCTATATGTACCCTAACTGTGGCTGGGGATAGAATCAGCAACCTAGGTACATGCCCTTGACCAGGAATTGAATCCATAACCCTTCATTGTGTGGGCCAATATTCTACTTCGCCACATCAGCCAGGGCCACACTATTTTTTTTAAATATACATATTTTTTATTGATTTCAGAGAGAAAGGGAGAGGGAGAGAGAGAATCATCAAATGGCTGCCTCCTGCATTCCCCACACTGGAGATCGAGCCCACAACCCAGGCATAGGCCCTGACTGGAATTGAACCTTGACCTCCTGGTTCTGTAGGTCTATGCTCAACCACTGAGCCACGCTGGCCCGTCTATGCTATTTTTTAACAAATCAAGTTAAAAAGAACTTTCTTTGGAGAAGCTTGTGTCTTCCCTCAAGGTGACTGAGAAGTTGTGGGTCCTAGAAAATCAGGTTTGAATTTCACTGATCTGTACATATTTGGGGCCTAAATGAGATCAGTTAACTAGAAGAAGAGTGTAGAGTGCAGATACCCTATCTCTTTACATTCTAGTCAGCAGGTCCAATGAACTCTTAAGAGTGTCTAGACGATCCATGAATAATTTTAAGAGAAAGTCGTTTTCTTCTTTCCCTACATTGTGTTTCTTTCCCTGATAACTTTTTGTAATGTGACTAAATTGAGAGAATTGATTATTGTGGGAGGCTTGGAATCAACATGGGGTTTCTGGCTCATCAAATTTAAATTTAAGTCATCACCAATATTGCTACCTAATAGTTGCTTAATAGATTTGGGGAGTTATGCAGCCATATTGTCAGGGAGCAAATCTTTTGGGATTCAGCTTTTTAATCATCTCATTTATATCAGATTTGGGGCATAACTGAAAAAATGTTTGAGGACTATGCCAGCACACTGCTTTCTTGACCTGTGAATAAAAAAGAAGCTTGGAAACAAGAATTTAATTTGAAGCGTCATAATTAGGATCGTGGCTGGCATTCTGGTGTGAATTTTAAAAGAAAATGCTAGGGAGAGCTACAGCAAACTTGAGGGAATAGAAAGAAGCAAGTTAACTGACTTTCTAATGAGCCCAATAATTTGTAAAAGTAACAATAGCAGTAAATTTGAGGTGATGTGGTCTCAAAGGAACGAGTACACTTTAATGAATTACTGTTCAATTCATCCTTGGCCTGATATTCACGTTCCCATCAGCGTGAAGCACTGAGCCTCTGACAACTAACAGCTGACCTGATTTTAGAGATTTACTGTCTTTACCACTATAGTATTGTGTCTATGGCTCTCTGTGTAATAACAGAAATATCAGAACAATGGCTGAAATTGATTATAACTGGTGATTTAATAGCCCTGAACTGAAGGTAATGTAGCAACAAAGATAATAAACGTGGTGGCGTGAGGAAGGAAAGTTGTGCAGGAGCATCAAGAAAGGGATTTAACAGGAGGAAAAATGACAAAAAGGAAGAGAAAAAAATGCCAAGTTTTTGCAACCCTCAATAAATATGGGTTATGTAGATATGTTTGACTTATACCAGGGGCATTTCACAAAAACTCAGATAGACCTTTAATTGGTTTTGATTTCCAGAGAATACCCTTTGAGTTTTCCATAAAATTTGTAAGAGTTCCCCTCTGAGTTTCCATGATTGCCTTAAGCTTATTTCATGCATTTTATTGGAATCAGAATAATAAATGAATGATTTGATTGTTAAAGTGCTAGAGACAGAGGGCCAGACAATAGGAAGTCTGCATACATTCAGAACTTTCTCTTTAATCAAAGGCTGGGTTGTGATCAGAGCTTTCGGGTTGGCCCGTCTGAATGAATCCAAGTGGAGGAATTAATTTTCCGGCCTGGTTAAGTGGTAGCCACAATGACACAGATTTCAAGGTGGGTGAAAGTACCCAGCCTGATTCTGTAATAATCACAGAAGAATGTGTTCGTCCAAACGGCCTCCTGTCCCTCTGTTCACTCTGCAAGAATAAAGGCCTGTGTTAAAGATGTGGCCATTGGCCAAAACCATTGTTAAAGCCCTGTTTTGGAATTGACTTCGGTGCTTGAACCAGAGTCTTTTCAGTAATCTTGGCTGCTGCACATCTTCAACCTTTAGGGGTGGGTGTGACATTTGGGGAGCAGCAAACAGCATTCGCAGCAAAATCTTGTAAACAAGGTGGGTGATAAAACTGGGTGATACCCTTTGAGGTTAAAAATCAAATATGACTAAATATGACTGTAGAATATTAAAAATGATTAACTGGTAGCTTCAAAGCCCTCCAATTAACTTGGAAATCCATTCCAATATAGGAGTGGCCAGAGTGTTTTGAGCAAAGGCAGTGCCCTTGGAACCTGTTAGTATAGAGTCTGCCAAGGTGACCAATCTAAAAGGGATTACACCAATGTAGATGTTTGTTTAAAAAAATCAATTGAATCACTTTATGGGCTTAGTGAAATGTAATAGGAAGAACATGAGCAATGAGAGCCAGATGGGTCTACCTCCACCCCTTTCAGCTCTGAGTGACCTTGGACAATTTATTTAAGCTGTCTGAGCTTCTGCTTCGAAATTGGCCAGTGGAGATCATAATTTCCATTGGGACTGTTGTCAGGGTTAGGAATATAGCATGTAAAGTGCCGTATATACTGGCCTACATATAGTACAGGGTATGTGGTTATTGTTTGATGGATTTATTTATACCCAACCTTATTTCAAAATGGATTAAGTGCTTGTTTTCTGTCCCTACATGGCCTTATTCAGGAAAGAGTAGCATTAATAAATGGACCATGTTCTCAAGTTATTTATATTAACATTGTTTTAATTTTTTCTTTTTAAATACTATGTTAACTATATCTGCTAAGTAATAATTATGATATGGACAAAAAATGCACTAGTTACTGTTAAATAGCACTTATACTAGTAAAGTGTCAGATACTGTTCTAAGTATTTTATATACAAACGTATCACCCAGTAATCCTGTGATGTAGGTAATATTACTATCCCCATTTTAGAAATGATAAAATTGGAGCATTTGCTATGAGTAAGTTATCTAAAGTGAAAGAGCTAGTAAGTGATGAAACCAGGAAGCAAATTCAGGCAGTCTGTTGCCCACACCTGTCCCCTTAACCACTGTCACGCTTCACTAAGTATCATTGGATGATCCTTTAAGGATCTATTTGATATCTGAAGACTATCAAGGACCATTCATGGCTAACGCTTGTAAATACGGAGGGGGCTAATCCTTTGAGGTCAAAAATCAAATATGACTAAATATGACTATAGAATATTGAGAATGATTCGCTGGCAATTTAAAATCCCACAAGTTAACTTTGAAAGCTGTTCCCATAAGGGAGTGGCCAATGCGTTTTGAGAAAAGGCCTTGAAGCACGTGTAGAGTCTACCAAGCCTGTGAGAAGAATCAGGACCCACTCACCTGTGCTGAGCGGGTGCTAGAAGGCAAATTCAGTTGCACGAATGGACAAAGGTTCCATTCAGCAAGCTAGTCACTATCTTTAAGGGATATGGCAACCACCAACAAGTGGCCATCCAGACAAGCTGTTGGCATTCTTGATCGAGAAAATGGGGTATCCAAGGTGATGAGGCAGCCAACATTGGGGCAATCTGTCCTCGGGGGACAACTCAAATCACAGGATGGAAGATCAGGGTCCAGATCCTAATTCTTGGGGGAGGAACAAAGCTAGGTGTAAATTGGGATTGCATAGGGACTGGGAATGGGCTGAGCCTATAGTTGATGGACAGTAGAAGGTTAAGTAGCCTCACTGTGGGAAGAAGAAAGGTGTTGAGCAAGCATGTCAAACTCGCGGCCTGAGGGCCGCATGCCTCGTTTATTTGGCCCATAGAGGCTGCAACACAGAATCAGGCTGGCTTTTATGCCTATTATGCTTCCTGTGTGGATTTCCTCCATCAATTCCCTGAATGCTGAGTAGCCTGGGGAGAGGCAGTGCAGTGGATCTGGAAAGACACAGCAGAGTCTGGTGCAGTATTTCTTAAGGTGCCACCTTCATGATTTTTACTATAGCTATACTGTTTCTTGTTTTACACTTTTATTTAATTGAAATAGTTATTGATTTATTTCTTTGTCATATACCAACACGAGTATTACACTTTTGGTATCAGCTAGGATCCCAGTTGGAAATAGATAGGGCACTCAAATTAGGTAACATGCAGGGAGACCAAGAGATGAATAGAAGGACTATTTACAAAGGGGTGGACTTGTGGGATCCCACTACCCCTACTACCCATAAGCCCGAAGGGGAGGGGAGGGAGCCATCGAGTGAAACCATGTGGAGAGGGACCATTTGACAGGGGCTATGCCTTCCAGACTAGGGGCATTGCCAGCCTGAGATAATATTGTAGGGAGGGAACTGGGAGAATAAATATCTCAGCCTCAGTCTCCGCCCTTTCTCTGATGTCCCATCAGAGCTCCCCATTGGCCAAACCCAAACAGAAGCCAGAGGAACTGGGAGCTCTTGAGGCAGCCCAAAGAGGCACAGAGCAGGGTGGAGAAGGTACCGAGTGGATCTGGAGGGGGAAACTGAAGATGACCAGCTCACACATCTTCATCAAAGTGGGCTAGGGTCAAGGACACAGCCCTGAGGTCCAACCACAGAGACCTCCCTCAGGTTGGCATCTAGCCATTCAGCAACATTCCTTGGGTTCAGGTACTCAACTTACTCTGAAACCATTACCAATACTATCTGTCAAGCCATGCTTTACAGTTTCAGGCACAAAGGATATTAGGGGAAATGAAATTCCATTTTGCTGAGGCAAGAGTTCTGTGTGAGGAGGGTTTTTCTGACTATGTGAGCCAATTTTAACGGAAAATGATTTTAAGGAGGAGTAATGTGTGTTCTGTATCCATCTTGGGTCCTATCCAGTATCACTAAATTTAACTTCCAAATGAATCAAAGGAGGTTAAGCTTTAATGAACTGTGTTATTCTTTCTTGTTAATAGATGCACTATGTTTAGAAGAGCTGATGATTTGCGTGGGCCTCCTGGTGTCCTCTGGATTCCCTGTAGATGTTTCACAATTGATCTACCTCCTGGAAAGAAAACGTATTTATAGGGTAGGGGAGATAGATAAGAATATCTGGATATTCTTATGCTGTCATTCTTTCTTTTTAATAAAACAAGAATCATTAATCTTTCAGCCTATGCAGATTGTGTGTGTGTGTGTGTGTGTGTGTGTGTGTGTGTGTGTGTACACTACATCCAGGGTATAATCTTATTTGGCAACCCCAACTGTTTGTTGCTATGGAAACTAACATATCACCCCAGTCTCTGTGTCATTGGCAGCCCCTCCGATGGCTTGGTAGCAGACGTCCTGTTGACTGGAACAGTATGTGTGCAGGTGGAATAGAATAGGCCAAAGTCCCAAGAAATAGGATGTTCCTTCCAACTCCACTGGGGGGATATGAGGACCATTCATTAAGTCCATGGGAAGTAATTGTACTTCTTAAATATATGCAAAAGAATGAGTACTTATATAAATGGAGTCATGTTCATCCAAGTTTTTTCAGGAGAGAGGAGAGCTGGGAGTCTTCTTTTCCCACTTCTCCACCCTCTACCTTCATGTTTTTCCCTACACCTGCATTACTACCACCCTGAAACTCCCCACACCCACCAACACAGTACCCTTTGGTGTAACCACCTGGTATAATTCATTTTGTTCTTTTTTTACATTACATTTTGTCTTCAGTATGCTCCTTCTTCTACTTCTCGATGTGTTAAAAGGGAGAATTTACTGGAAATTCCTATCAGTGACTACTGAAGGACAGATCAACCAAAGTAATTTACAGCCTTCCCTCCTACTAGTCCCAAACCAACATGAACCTCAGCTAACATTATGAGATACCTGGATTCAACTGCTGAATCACTAAATGTTTTATTTCTAAATGGTGCACCGCAGTGGCGTTCCCTCCCTTTGTTCCCCTTTTCCAGTCTGGCTGTGGAGCATCCCAGAACCAGGCGTCAGAAAGCCACCTGAGCTTCACTCCTGGAAGCCAGGATTCCCTCACTCCTGCAGCCACGATGCCACAGCACCCCCTCTCTGTGTTGTGGAGGGGCTCCTGCTGAGGGGACTGCCTTGCCTGTGTATTCCAGGTCAGCCAGCCTTTGTAGAGGCAGAGGAATCTTCTTTGACCAGCTGCTCCTTGTCCTGCTCTCTCAGCCTCCAGAGGGACATGGGTCATCACTAAGGACATTGATCGGATGACGGCACTCCTCTCTTAGGCTGTAGGCCCTAGGATGCTTATGAGCTCATGAGGTGCAGAATCTGTGTGAACAGCAGCACTTACATGACTCACAAAGGTGATGCAGTTGCTGTTGTTGTTTTAGCTCTAGGCTCCTTTCGTAGCTTGAACCTATTTCTACTTTGCACTGATCACCAGGTGTTATAATCACTGAAGAGTCTGCCCTGGAGGGCTGGGACCACGAGTTAGAAACTTTTGTAGCCCCTTTGCCTAGCACGGTACATGGCACATGTCCAATAAATGCCAACTGGATCAATGCATTCAAGTGCAGGGAAATGTTGAATTACTACAATTCTTCGGGCACTTAGAGCATCAGAAGGTGGATGAGGCTGTATGGGTGGATGAGGCAGCAGAGATTTGAGATGGAGGGACAAACTGAGTGCTTCTCCAGAGGTTGAGCATGCCAATGTCTAGAAGGCCCCAGATACTGGGGGGGAAATTGTTTTCTTTTTAATCATGAAAAATGCTTTAACTACTTTCTATGTACCCTCTGTGCTTGGCACTGGGAAATCTATAATAAAAGGGTAATATGCCAATTAGACCGGATGTCATTCCAGATGTCCTTCGGGACAAAGCCGGGGCCGGAGGGAAGCCAGTGCTGGCAGCCAGGGGAAGGAAGGCCTACTTTTGCACGAATTTTCGTGCATCGGGCCTCTAGTCAAAGATAAATGACAGGTCCTCTTTTCCCAAGGACTTCATGTTTATAAAGAATTGTTACTCAGAATGACAGGTACTATAATAATGATGTATATGATAGACAAGTACCATGGGGAAAAGGGAGGGGTGAATCAGGCCTTATCACCCCCCTGCTTATAAGCCCCATGCGGCATGCCACTGCGCTTGAAATAAAATCCAAATTCTCTACCCTGATGTACCAGGCTCTGTCCCACCCAGCCCCTTCCCCTCTCTGTCCTCATCACCCACCACATCACCCCTTGCTCACTTCCCAAACATTATTTCTGTCCTTGAACAGATCAAGTCCTTTCTCACCTCAAGGCTTGCCCTCAGATCTTTCTGCTTGGCTGCCTCTTTCTTTAGCATTCAGGCCTCTGCTCCATTATCACCTCCTTTGGCCACAGTCTACATAACCTCCTCTACTACCCTGTTTTATTTTCTTCCCAAACCTTTTCACTGAAGTTATCTTGTTCATTTATTAACATAATTGTTGTCTACTTTCCTCTCCTTTCCATTCACCATCCCTGCCCCATGCACTACGATGGTGGGTTCCTGAGAGCAGAGAGGCCTGTCTGGCTTGGTCCCTGCTCTGCCCCAGTGCCTGGAACATTGCCTGGAGGCCAGCACATAATAGAAACGCATCAAGTATGAATTTGCTCTGGGAAAGAGAAGAAAGATTCACCAAAGAAAAGTTGTAGGTAAAAAACAGCTGAGGATAGGAAAGGTGTGAGGGCCAGTGTCAGGACTCTGTGAATTAGAATACAGGGTGCAGGTGAAATGTGGAGGTGAGGCCTGAGGAGCAACATGGCCTGAGGGCTTTGTTTGCCAGGAGCCTAGAGCTAGAGAGCCGGTCAGACAGAAAATTCACCAGTTCTATTCCTTCCCAGGTGTGTGGCCCAGACAATCACCTAACCCTGCAGTGCCCCATATCCTCATTTGTAAATGAGCTGATAATACTTTCTATAAGGAGAATATAAGAGTACTCTCATTGTAGGCTTGTGTGAGGATTCGATGACTCAGTATGTAGAAAACGCCTAGTAGTGCCTGGTATATAGTTGGCTAAGCATTTGCACTAGAGTGGAGTCGCTGAAGAGTTTGAGAAATAGGTTTATAGGATTGAGGTTTGTATTTTAGAAAGATCATCAGGCTGGCAGTGGGAGCGTGGACTGCAGGGGGCTGAGAAATTAGTCAAGGAAACAATTGTGTGGGCAAGACAGACCAAGACTGGGCAACAGTGAGGATGGTACAAGAGTTATTAAGACAATGGACTCAGTCATCAGTTTGGGGAAGGAGATGAGGCAAAGAGACAAGTAGGTAATGATTCCTGGACATGGGGCTTGGGTAATTGTGTGGCTGGGAGTGCCAGTCACCCACACAGGAAATACAGGATGTGGGCCAGGCAATCACCTAACCCCAGGTTTGGGAGCCTGCGGCAGGTTGATTTTGAGTGCTGCGGGAACTCAGGGGGAAGGGGGAGATGCTACTCAGCAAGAAAACTCACCTCTCCCTACATGGCAATATAATATTCACATGCAAGCACTGTACTTATTGGTACTTAATAAATGTTAGCGCTTAATATTTCGTGTTTATAATTTTTGCCTTTAAAGCAAATACTGTGAGAAATTTCTTTGTCCACATCTGAGGGTTGGGTTTTTTGTTTGCTTTGTTTCTGAGATTTCTATAAGCAGAATTACTGGAGCAAAGATATGTTGGAGATTTTAACTCATGTTGCCAAATTCCTTTTCAAAAAGGTTATATATATATATATATATATATATATATATATATATTCTCCAGATATTTTGGGATTCTTTAAAATCAGCTTTAATATTCTTTTATAAATACCATCCCAAAAAATTGCCAGGATATGGGGAACAGTTCTCTCGTGTGCTTCCTATGGACGTGATCACCAATGTTAGCTCCATCTTTAAACGTTGCTAGTTGTGTTTGTCCTAGGGAAGTTCCTCAAGTAAATACCTGTTATTAATCAACATGTTGGCAATACCACAGCCCAAACTTTATTCTCAAAACCATGGCAATAAGTGAAATATAAGCACTCCATGCATAAATACTCCCCTGAGGCTTGGGAGGGGACATAAGGAAAATGTACTCAGTGAATATAAAGCTCCACATTACCAGACTGCATTGTTATAACAGTATTTCCCCCCAAAGGACGGGTTTCTTGCAACTTTCCATGCTATGATGTAGTGTATGCACTTGCGTAGAAATTTAGTTTCCTTTGAATTAATACACGTGCTATGAGAGGGCACCATTGATTGGTCAAATAAAATTATAATGTAGAATAAATTAAAATTTCTTTCTCATGCATATAAAATAGAAAAATCTATTTTCACTGAAGACAGTGACGTGGTCAGTTCTACAAGTGATTATCATGAAGTGCTGGCCATCCGGGTGCTTCGGATGGTTGTTACTGTATTTCTAACTCTGACCACACAGAGCTGACACACCACAGAGGAAGCAGTACCCGGGAGGAGTGTTTGGGATGCTTCGTATCCCTCTGTGGACCCTTGTTTTGTGTCTATCAGACTTAGTTTGTACATAATAGAGTCTTTAACCGGTTGTCTTTTTCAGAGAGTCCTTATAAAGGAAGCATGGGTAGAATGTTCTTGCCCATGTGTTGTACTGAATATCTGTTTTGTATTTCCCATGACCCACTCACTGGAGGCCACTTAACCAGGGGGCCCCCAGCACTAATACTTGCCTCTTCTGTTCAGAGCATTAACCATCCATCAAAGTGTGAATGGAGACTCAGACTTGCTTTCGGAACGCGCTCTTATACCTAGTCCCTAGTCCCTGTTCTCTGGTGGAAATGGGTGAAGAGATTGGCCTTGTTATCCAGTTCTGGCTATAATAGTAATTCACGGAATTTTAGATCCAGTGTATGGGGGAAGTGAGCTAATCAGTGTCCCTTTAAGTGTATTTGTCAGAACTTTGGCCTCTAGGGGTAGAAAATGTTTCCTAGACGAATAAGTTTGGGAAATGCTGAATCCGTATCTCCATCCCCTTGAATATTCACAACGAAATGGCAACTCTAAGTCAGCATTTCCCAAACTTATTTGACCAGGGAGCCTCTTTTCCCTGCGTAATAGCCGTTAACATCCTGCTGTAGGAAATGAGTCCAGTCTCCTAGTGGATGGAGGACCAGAAAATGAAGCCACTTGTGGGAGTAACTGCCGGGAATAGCAGGAGGAGAACCCACTGGTGGTGGACGCCTCCCTCAGAATGGGCTGCCTATTTGCGCTGATAGCAATGGCTTCGAAACATTTGAGA